TAGATACATGTATTTTTAGTACCAGATACACTGAAATAGGGAGTGATGCGAACGAGAGAAGGAGAGACGCGAGTAAGATAGTCTACATGTGAATCACACTATATACATGTTTTTGGGATACTAGATGCATTCCACATACATTCTGAAATACATTTACATAGGGGAGAGGCTAGCGAGAGGAGAGAGAGAGTAGATACTTGCAAATCAACTTGGATACAGTGTATCTAATACAAATTACACCTAAATTTGACCCTATGTATCCGAGATACATTTATCTAGATGCACTAGATACATGTATCTGGATGGACTAGATACATGTATCTGAAGTTCAAATTCTAGTAAGATTCATAATATTGGTAACTCACATGAAGGGAAGTAATTTGCTCCTAAACTAGTGGATTTGTGGTGTTTGCCCAATATTTCTCCCCTTATTCTTCTTGGATTTGGGCTTTTTTTGGTCAAAGGCATTACTAGCATAATTCGAAGGCCCAACTTTATAGAAAAAGACAACCTTTTTTGCTGGTCCATTGTATCTATAAGTCGGCCCCACTTCGTGATCACGTGGCAGATTTGAATTATCTGCATATTTCACGTGCCATGCCAGAGGCCTAGCCACTGTATTGAGCTCTGACTCCCTCGCAAACTCTACCTCTTAGTCTCCAACCTTCTTCTTTCCCTTCGATCAGAGTTTTCACCGGCGACCCATATCTTTGTGTGTGCATCAGGAATCACCTAGATTCATATCTCAAATCAACTACTTTTAGCTCCAATTTACAGGGGATATCTCTACAGTTCTCTTTAATTCAAATTCTCACCCATAGTATCTTCATTGATGTCCACATAGCCACCACAAAAATTGCCAATCGTTTGGAAAGAGCATGTAGAACAAGCATGTAGTGGTATTCAGAAGACTTTGATCCATTGTTCTTCAGAAGATCACTCCTTCGTATCCAAATCAACCAGCGGGGACCACCAGTCTAGGGATAGTCTCCGGCCATTCCAGAACCATTCTCCCACCTTGACTCTGGCTGCTTCTTGTCGAGATAACATTTCAAAGAGAAAAAGGTTGTACGAAATTGGGGAAGCCTTCAAGCCTGCTGTCATCTTCCATCTGTTGTAGGACCACTTTTGGATTGTATCATGATTTGGGTTAGCATGGAAGAAATCATTGAATTTTCCAACCAGACATTTTATCCAGATATTTGAGATTATCTGGGATGGCTGCTGAGTTGTTTGATTGGATCTGTTAGACTCCATTGATGGCCACTTCTCGATCCTCGAAACATCATAATAAGACATCAGTTGAGAGTTGGGACACCATCTCTCCGATTTCAGAGTAGTCTCCATAAAAATCTCAGGATCTTGTTCGCGATGTCTTTCCATCCTCCATTATCTATATCCTCTAGATTACGGATTATTTCTTGTCACCCAGCCATATTTCAACTCGAAGGAATCTGCCGTAACTGTTCAAATTCTGGTAAACCCTGTAAATATAAGCTTCGATTTTCCTACTCCACCTTTTACAGAGCTTCCCTTCTCCCTTAGAAGCCTCTTTCATGGCTTCTCATACCCATCTCAAGCTGTTCTCATCAATTCGAATCTTCTCAACAAACCTCCTACTGCATTCATTAAATCATAAACCGTCTCCCGCGATCACCACTAATGCCAATAAGTTCAATAGATTTATTGCCGCAGAAAAAAAGGTTCTTCCCTCCATCCTGGAAGGAGGAGAGAGAGAAGAAGAAGAGAGGAATGGGAAAAGGAGAAATAATTTCTGGTGATCAGAAGGATCACCGTAGAGAGAAGTATCGACAAAGAATTTCTATTAGGTCTTTGCCTCGTAAGATATGCCTGGGAGCTTAGGAAAATAAAATCTATGACTATTAGAGTTCAAAGTTTATGGCACGGCTACTTTTTAACCGACCAGCATCATCTAAACTTTGAATTTCTTTTCATTGCTATACCAATTTACAGTACGTTGATCATATTCTGGAACTTTGCAAACACCATATCTCTTTCCAGTGATTAAGAATAGATTTTCTTTCGAGTGTAATGCAAGAAGCACTTTCCTTTGTTGTACAGTTACCCAAGACTTTCTGGAGGAAAGAATTCCAGCTCCAATTTTCTTATGGTAATTGTGCACTGTTCTAGAGAGTTGCGTCAACTTTCTATGTTTCCAGAACAACCAAAGTCAAGATGGTTTCTCACTTGGAGTTTGAGGGAGGGAGCATGTTAGAATATCAAGTGAATATGCATCTATATTCATGTGTCTAGGTTCATAGTCCTTGAATGATATATTCTCTGTACTAAATTATATAGAATATTTATTCAACTTATATTATGGAAATTAATAACCCACCATATTGTACGTAGCGTAAAACTCATATGTAAGGAGCACCTCTTGTACATTGCCTATTAAGTTAATAAGAAGTTTCTTCTATATTTAAACACACATATCTTCATATGCTGGCACACTCATTGAATTAGAGTACAGTCTGGGAATATTAGTTCACCTCCAATGGCATGACCAATTAGCACATTTTTTTAAATCATTTTTCACTCTTCTCCTTTTAAGTCTATTAAATAGGTACATCTTAGTTAAGCTGGTTTCAATGAAAAGAGAGTTGTATCACTGGATGGAAGTAGTTGTTTTCACGTTTATTTAGATGAGATGAGAATACCTTCTCTCTTTTTTTTAATCACAGAGACCATAAATGGTCATTTTCTAAATAAAAAGCAATTGGTTTGGACCCCAAAAAGGCCCAATATACAAAAATCGGCCCAATATTTAGAAAAGTATACAGTTTGTAACTGACTGATTGACCATGCTTTGTGGCCTGTGCCTATAGGTATACATCTAGACACCTGGTATAAAGTAACAAAAAGCTTAAATCATTTGACCAGATTGTTACCCACAATAATTTATCAAGTAAATTGTCAACTCAACCAACTGATTGACGATGATGCTGCGTGCCTGTAGGTTAGTATCAATGTTAAAATGTGTGACCATTTCATCCAAAAGCTTTTATTTTCTATTTGGTTGCAGTGAGACTCGAACCTGGAACCTTGCTCAAGGTCCATTTTTCAACACAGTCATAGCTAGACCTATTTATATTCTTGGTTTACTCAATTTTAGGCCTCATGCTGTGTTGCCACCTATGTTGCTCGAACTCTTCAAAAATGTTATCGGGTGTGTGTCGGATCCTTCAAAAGTAGTGCAATTTTGGAGGATCCGACACGGGTGCGGCAACAATTTTGGATAGTCTGAGCAACTTAGGTTGCCACTATGTTGCTCGAACTTAGGTGCAGATCTAGAGGTTGGATTCTTCATCACATACCTTTGAGGATTCGAGGATGTTGATATGAGTGTAGATACGGATGCTGGGATACAACCAATAAATGTATATTACGGCATAGATAAGTATATATTTTGATTAATTAAAGTGATGGAACCTAAACTAATTATATATTTTTACAAACACCAAATATTTTATTCAAAAGATATGACATCAATATACCCCGTGTAAGACTGTAATCTCACAAAGTGGGGTCTGGGGTGAATAGAGTGTGTGCGGACCTTACCCCCCTACCTTAGAAGTAGAGAGAATGTTTCCGATAGACCCTCGACTCAAGGAAAAAAAAACAAAACAGTCCCGCAAAAGAAATAATAGTCCGATGTAGGGGTGTGCAAAAACCGATTTAACCAATAAACCGAACCGAAAAAAACACTATTGGTTTATTGATATTGGGTTATTGGGCTAACGATTTTTAAACGGTTTTGCAAAATTTTTTATTGGGTTATTGGTTCGGTTTCCGGTTTTATAATTTTTGTTAATGGTTAAACTGATAACCCAATAAGACTATACTAAATTTACTAGTCTTATTGTTAATGGTTAAACGATTGTTACTTTCACACTTTTTGTTAATGGTTAAACGATTGTTACTTTCACACTTTTTCCTTTGAATGTGTCTAATGTCTAAACTTGCAAGAAAAATGATTGTTACTTTTATGATTATTACTTTTATGCTAAATGCTGGAAAAATCATATGGTTTATTTGAAAATTTTCTTATCGTGTATATAATATATATGAGTATTTTCTTATTGGTTAAACCGAAAATCGAACCGTTAAGTACCATAAACCGATTAACCAAAAACCGATAAGAAATATGTTATTGGTTTGGTTATCGGTTTGAAGTATTTACAAACCGAAAACCGATAAATCAAACCAATAACACCTAAAACCGAACCGAACCGACCGATGCGCACCCCTAGTCCGATGTACAAAAAACAACAAATAGCAACAGAACAGAAACTACAGTAAAACAATCTCGTATAATAGCAAAGCATCTCATACTTTATACGACTATATGTATATGACATAAACCAAAAGATCATAAATCAAATACCTAATCAATCTGTACTTCTTTGTCATAGATGTAGTCAAGCACCCAAGGTAAGTTGACCACACCCGGTGTGATTTCCACACCCACATCCACACCCAAATTGGGTTGGATCGACATGGGTGTGGCTGGGATTTTGAAGGGTCCGAGCAACATAGACGAGGTGTGAAGTGCCTCACATTGGATCAGAAAATGGATTTTTGTCTCTTTAAATGGTCTTGGCAATACTCATCCTATGAAACTTTTGGGGTTTGAGTTACACCCAATCCCCGCATATTCTTTAACAATCTGGACACCTTGAAATTACCCCCTGGGGGCTGTAAATCCCACCTCATCAGGCTTTGCTGATGAGTTTTGATGTGAATATAAAGTTCCTTATCAAAAAAAAACAATCTGGACACCTGGTCTAATGCAAAGCTTAAACATCATTTGACCAAGTTGTTACCTGCTACAATTTATCTGTTTAATTGTGACTTACCTAACTATTTGGCAACATTTGTCCAGTCAAATAATTGTTATTCTCATGTCTGGGAGATACTGCAAATTTATCAGAATGATTGGACTTGCCTGCGGAATACTGAATTTCCTCTTCATGCAGTTGACAGAATTGAAAGAAATGGAGTGCATTCCTTTAACCATGATGAAGTGTCTTTGTCTGCCCAGCCAAGCGAGTCTGCAGTTTCTCCGCACGAGGGTCAAACATCACAGTCTCATCATCTTTCACATATAGATAATGCAGCCCCAACTTCAAAAGTTGACCTTGAGAAGGAATGTGATGTTTCTAGAGGTCTTGTAAGACCACGGATATTTTGCCTTGAGCACGCAATTCAGACTGAAGAACTGCTGCATACTAAAGGTGGAGCAAATGTTCTTGTGATCTGCCATTCAGGTAAGGTTCCTCATGTACAACCTCGTTTGAATTGTCTTAATGATGATAATACCAAAGAAACTACTAAAGTTTTCAGTTTTTTCTAGTTCTTGGTGTATTGAACGTTTTTTACAACTTTTGATTTCATGTAGACTTCCAAAAAATAAGAGGACATGCTGCTGTTGTTGCAGAGGAAATTGGCACGACATTCAAATATAATGAGATTCCGCTGGCTAATGCATCTCAAGGACATCTTTCATTGATTGATCTTGCAATCGGGGATGAAGAACAAAACAAATGTGCAGAAGATTGGACACTGAAATTAAATATTAATTTAAGGCACTGTGTGAAGGTGCAAAGGAACTGTCCACTTAAGAAATTAAAACATGCATTGATTTTGGGTGGATTATTCTCTGATACAACTCGTAGTTCAGATTCCTTGAGTCTCCTCAAGTGGCGGTCCAGAAAAGTGCGCTCAAAGAGAAAGTTGAATCATTCAACAGAAAGTACACCATTTGCAAATGTTCAAATAGCAAAGGTAGTTTCAGGGTCTACAGTGGGCGTGCAGAATGTCAGAAAGGGGAATATAACAATCCAGTATTCCAGGAAAAAATACAAGCCTAAGGATTGTAGTTCTGCGCAGGTTTCCAGGGTTTTCATGGATCCATTTAATGTTCCAAAAGAAGTTTCACTTGCAGATGCAAAAATATTAGGAAGTACTCACCTCAGGGATGAAAATGCAGGCACCGCTTCTTTAGCAGAAAGGTTCTTTGCTTCTTCTGATGGGAAACCCCGATTGCGAAACGAACATGAGATGCTTTTACTAAAGAAAGACCGAAATGGGGATCTCCTTGCACCACAAAAACCAGATTTACTTGTGACGACATCTTTAATGGTGGAATTCGATGAAGCCCAGGCTGAACTTTGTACTACTGAGAAGTTTTCCTTGGAGGATAAAACTTGTGATACAAATTCAAATAGTTGCCATACAGAGAATAAGACCATGGCTGCAGAGACTAGTGGAGAAACAGAGATAGCACATGTGCATACTCCTGCATGTACATCCATATATGTGGTTCAAAGCACTGCATATAATGAAAATTTGGAGGAGAATCGGGATATGACGGAAACTGTCATCAGAGATAAATCTGATCATCCGACGGAAGCAGATTTTGAAAGAGATCATCATAGTGGGGATGATAAAGCTATTATGACCAGATCTCCCATGCCTGTTAACTCCTCAGGATCTTGCACTGATGGTCCTTCAAGAAGTTGTGATAAGAAGATTGAGGATCAAGACTCGCAACAATTTGGCTCAGGTAGTGAGACATCTGATAGTGAAACTTTGCTCAAATCTGTGGAGCAAGAAATCCAAATGCATAACTCAGTTAAAGACATAGCTGTCTGTGACCATGTCACACCCATAGAAGAAGCTTCTGCCTCAGCAGAACGTCTCAAAATGACGACAGAGACATCTAGTACTAAGCACTCACAGAGTGGTGATGACATCTCTGAGCAGCATACGAATGGAAAAAATGGTGGCAAAAGGAGGTGTGAGCTAGACCTCTCAACTGATTATGGATGTAGTGTTAGTGGCTTTGTTAAAAGTCCATGTGAAGGTTTAAGGCCACGAGCTAGGAAAAATGTACCTGGGAGCAGAGTTGATACTAAGGAATTTCTTGAGAAGAAACCTATGGGAAATAAGGTGGAAAGGTCTTTACATAGTTCCATCATTCCCAAGGATAAGAAAGAACAGAAGAAGGGAAGTCATAGGTGTAACTTGGAAGGGTGCTGGATGAGTTTCCAGACAAAGGTAGAGCTGCAACTGCACAAACAGAACCGGTGCCCCATTGAAGGGTGTGAGAAGAAATTTACCTCCCACAAATATGCTATGGTTCATCAACGCGTTCATGAAAATGATCGGCCCTTGAAATGTCCATGGAAGGGGTGCACCATGACATTCAAGTGGGCCTGGGCAAGAACTGAACATTTGCGCGTACATACTGGTGAGCGGCCATACAAGTGCAAGGTTGAGGGTTGTGGACTGACTTTTAGGTTTGTATCAGATTATAGTCGGCATAGACGAAAAACTGGGCATTATGTAGATGCGGCCAATTGAGATTAGTTACTTTAATCAGATCGATGGGTTGTGTAATGTACCAAATACTAGACTGGGGTTGAAAAGGCAATCATGTAAACTAATGGGCACTTATCAGTTTTAGCATGGGGTGGTAGTAGAGTAGCTGTGTGCAGGATCATCTTTTAATTAAAACTGAAAATTGCATGTCATTCTTTCGAATTTCTTCATCTGTGAAGAAAGTCTGTCTCGTGGTACTCTGGTAATGCTGGACTGGACAGTCAATATAGAATAGAATAATAACCAACAAACTGAAACTGCAGCTTCTGCTTTCAATTGAAGAAACTCTCTTTTTATCTTTGTCAATAAATTCTGTTGCCCCTTCCAAATGTTTTCTAACTAGTTATTTTCGCTCTTTCAAACCTCTACAACTTTTAACCGCATTACATATTTCTCGATATTTTAACATTTTCTAATGAGTTTCTTCTCTCCCGAAGCCACAAAAATAAAAGTTGAAATATCATTTTACCCCTAAACTTAATTTAGTATTTTATAAAATATCTAATTAATTAAATACTAAATAATAATCATAGCATGTTATGATTAAATATTAAAAGTAAAAAGTGTCAACTTAAATGAAGAAAAACAAAAATATTCATCGAAAGATATTAGATATTTTTATTCTTTTAAAAATTAATTAATTACATTTTTTTTTATCTTTTGTTTTTTTTTGTATTTATTTTCATTGCACTTAATATCATACAAACTAAAAAAATTTTCTCTTCTTTATTTATTATTTTTCTCCTTTATTTATTTTAAATTCATCTTCATGACTCATATTTAATTATCTATTTGTTTGTTATTCTTGATATAACTCTCATTCTTTTCATATTCATAACTTTCAATTATTAACAGATGCTACCTATAAAAGTTTTTAAATACATTGTTTGTGTTTAGTCTTTCGTATTTCAACCTCATTTATTTTATCCTTTGAGCTTCTACCTGTATTTAGTAGTAATAATTATATTTTACTCATCTTTCTATCTTGCTTGCACTATATAAAGGTATACAAAAGAATAGTAACTTACGACATCAAGTAAATTTATTTTCTTTTGTGTTTAAGAGCTTATATTTATAAGGTAACATGAAACTATTATGATTATTTGCTATTTGATTCATGTTTTTAGTTTGACTTGGTGAAGAAGATTTTTGAATTTTTCTTGATTGTGGAAGATGTTGATAAGAACTCGAAATATTATGTACTGATTTTATATTTCTTCTTCCTTCTATATTGTTATGATCAAAGTCTTATGAGAGATGTGTATATTGTATTTTTCTTTTATGTTTTTATTTATTTTTCTCATTATTAGACTTCTTTAATTTGATCTTCTATGAATTTTCAAATGTCGTAGTTTTGTAATTTTAATCATTTTATTGATCTATAAAACATTACACGGGCATGTGTTCAGAAACTAATTCGTATAAGAGCACAAGTAGAAGTGAGTGAGTGAGTTTTTTTAACCAATAGGCCATGAGGGCATTTTATTGATAAAGGAAAAATAACAGAATAAAACAAAACAAAATAGAGCTGGTCCATTTCTGGACCCAAACAAAACAGATAGAAACTCAAGGAACTGGAAAGACCACTCTTCAGCTCCTTCGTCTTCTTCATAAGCTCGAGCTATGGTTCGGCGGCGATCGAAAAGGGGCAGGCAGCTGTAACTCCAGATCTTGTTCACCTCATGGTCCAAGAGGAAGCTAGCTTGAGTAGAAGACATTGGAGACACTCAAAATTCTCACTAGCGCCATGACTCTAACTCGTTGAAGACTCCTTCAGCATAGCTTTATAGGACCAAAAAGCTTTGTAACAGTGAGTACCGCTACCCCTAATCCCTTAAACACTTGATAATTTCATATGATTTGATTCAACTCACCGCTTAATAGATTGAGCTCCCAAAAAAGCTAATACCACTATTCAGGAATGAGGTTTATCATATCTTATGAATTTAACTTTCTGTGGAAATTGGTATATTTGCTATTCAACTAGTTGTTGCTTTAGCTATACCCTGCTTGTTTTGGAATTTTCTTATGCGCAAGTTTGGGATTCTAAGTTTTTCCATCTGTATGATTGCTCTTCCTGCACTTGGAACTTGCTCGAAACTAGTATATGTAATATGATTTGTACCTGGTCTATCAATGATGTTCTTAAGAGCTAATGAATCTGTCTCTAGTGTAACAGGGTAATTTCTGATTTATACAATGCTCAAGCCCCAATCTCATTGCAATTACTTCAGCTTCTAGACAGCCCCTTCCCATGTTGTTCTTGTTTCAGCATATACAAATTCTCCACTGTCACTCCTCACACAAAAGGCACTGGACATAGGACCTGGGTTGCCTTTACATGCTCCATCAGAGTTGCATTTGGAAGCTCCCCTTCCAGGGACATTCCAAGTAACAACTTTTGTGATTAGAAGTGGAGTATACTCCTCTAAGTATTGCACAATGCAAGGTTAACTCTTAGGAATATCCATTTGTAACACCCCGTAACTAGAAAGAAGTTAAAAATTGGAAAGTCATTTTTGGAAACAATATAAAAATCTGGAAAATTGTTAAGTATGTTAAGTTGAGTTTTTGGTCAACTTCAAACGACCATAACTCCTAGCTCAAGATGATTTAGGTGTATTTCCGGATATTATAGGAAAGATCTTGCAATAATCTTTCCAACGCCATCGAGCTTGCGCGATTCGAGTTCATATGAGTGAGGTATGCCCATTTGAAGTTGGGCTGTTCAAATAAGGAAGTCTAATTCGGATTTTAGAAGGGCATTATGGTCTTTTCCATACCCCATGACGTAATTTCATTTTTGGTAATTAATTGGGGTCTAAGCTGATAGGATTCAGTTTACACTTTTACAATATTGAGTTAGGATTTTAGAGAAGAGAAAAGAAGAAGAGAAAGGAGGAGAAGAAGCCAAAATCGTCAAATTCTCGAAGCTAGGATCGTTGATTCCCTACAAGGTATGTGAGTTCACACAGCGTTGGGTTCGTTCACCCACACTCCAAATATGTTTAATTCAGCATGAATTCGTCCTAAAAGTTGAAAGTTTGAATGTTCTTGATGTGTGTTCTTGAATTTACTTTCGTTCTTGAATTTGGGATGAGATTGAGGAGTTCTTGAGAGTTTAAGGTCGATTTTAGAGTTGTGTATGATTAGATTCTTGTGTACATATTCTGGGTATCTGAATCTAAAGAGAATTGGAGAAAAAGAATCGAATTTAGGCGATTTGAGGTTAGAAAACGAAGAATGAACAAGTCGGCAGAATCTGGGTACCAGGTCCGCAACGCGGACCTATTCCTTAGGATTGAAAAAAATATCTTTGCGGAGCGGAGCGGTCACGAACTATTCTGCCTCAAAATTTATTTCGCGACCAAATATTTAAATGCATCTCCGAGTAGCGGACTAGTTTCCAGATAGTAATTTCTTGATCTTTTCTCATGTTTAACTATCTAAAAACACTCCTAAACATCATGAGATTTTTCCTATCACAAATCACAATCCTTGAATCCATAATTCAATTCAAGAAAACTTAAGAGTCAAGTCAAGAGAAGTTAAGAGTCAAGTCAAGAGAAGTTCATAGAGTCTTCCAAAAGACTTTTACAAATATTTTAACTTTGTTTTAAGACTTGTGTTTTGAGATCAGTAAATAGTAAAAAGTTTGAAGTTCAGTTCTTTAAAAGAGTATATGGGGACTATGTATTTCCAAAGAGTTTAAAATATTTTCACATTTAAAGAAGAAAGGAAACCTTGATTTCCAAAAGAGCCTTTGAGCTAGTTTTCAGTAAAGAGTAAATGTTTTCACATTTAAACAAGAAAGGAAACTGAGATTTCCAAAGAGCCTTTGAGCTAGCTTTCAGTTAAAGGGTAAATGCTTTCACAATTAAGCAAGAGAGGAAACTTTGATTTCCAAGAGGAGCCTTTGAGCTAAGTTTTTGAGTAATTATCTCAAATCACAGAAAGAAGTATGTTTTTTTAAACATAAGAGCTAGTATCATATTTTGGGAGTAGTATTGAGCATCGATATGGGGGAGAGTTCAGACAACTCACAATCCCCATAAACTATGTAGCCATCATGGGTAGAAAAGGGTTATATTTTTTAGATGATTCCTTAGTGCTTTTTAGCATAGACTAGTGGATCCACTTAATAGTTCAGATTCTATACCCCCAGCAAGGTATAGGACGGCCCTTGCAGCGTGAGGCAAAACGTTGTATCATCACGATAACTCTTAAGTGATGGTTGTCGGTTATAGAAACTCCCACAACAGTATTTTGTATTTTTATATACATCAGAAATATTTGTATTTTCATATACAAACAGAGTTCATATTGTATCTTTCCATACATACAGAGTCATTATTGCATTTCTAAATACACAGAGTTGAAAACCATGTTTTAAAGCTTTTCTTTATACTGCATTTATTTACACTACTTAAAATCAGTTCAGTTCAGTTGAGCCAGCTAAGTTCTTCATTTTCTTTCAAGCTTATGTCTTGTTTTAGAATTCCCCTCTCATACTCGTACATTCAATGTACTGATATCATTTGGCCTGCATCTTATTATGATGCAGACATAGGTAACTAGGATCGCCATCCAGCTTACCGTTGATCAGTTGAGCACTTTTGAGTCTTGTGGTGAGCCTCCTTGCTTTCCAGAAGATCCCTTTTATTGCTTTCGCTATTATTATCAGTTCATTAGGATGTCGTGGGGTTTGTCCCGATATTCATCTCAGTTGTTTTAGAGGCTTCATAGATAGATAGTCAGATGTTAGTTCTTTAGTTTTTTCATTGTATTTATCTTATGTTGAGACTTGAGGTTGCCTTAATGGCCAGTTGAATGTTCCTTTATAACATTCCGGTTTATTACATTGATTTATCTTTGTTGAGTTAAGTCTTTCGAAGAGGGCGCCCTAGTTCTTGTTTACTATGGATAGGTTTCCTTTGTTTTTCTATAATAAAATAAGCTGTCATCAGGGACCTTGTTTTCCTTTTATCATTATTGCTTTCTTCCTCGGTAGCTCCTTAAAGATGTATTGTGAGGAATGGAAAAATTTTCTATCTATTCATAATGCTTCTCATACTGCTTCTGCTTC